TTGGCTCTTCTTTCTGATGGTTCCCGGCCCACCTTTGGGATGTCTCACTTTAAGTCTAGCCGGATGGTAAAACTGACCACTCTCCTCTTTCGGGTCCCATGCATCTGATTTGCATGGCCTCACACCCTCATCTTATTGGCACGGTCCTGGTGTGACGCCGCTGTAGGCTAAGCACTGGACCACAAGGACGGGTTGAATCACAACATCCCAACTCATCAGCTGCTCCTCAGAAATTCTATACACGGTCACTGTGAGTAGAAACGGGCACTTAACAACAACACAAACAATAACAAGTGGCTAAGTGGTAGAATTCCTGCCTTCCTTGCAGGAGTCCTCGGTTTGATTCCCAGCCATGCATCTACTACCCATCTGTCAGTAGAAGCTCACATGTTACTGTTGCTGTTGAACTACTTCCAGACTAAGACAAACTAGGAAGAAATGCCTGGCAAGCTATTTCAGAAAATCAGTGCATTAAAACCATACGGAGCAGAAAAGTCCCATCGGAAACCAATCTTGGGTATGGTGCCTGACCGAGCAGTGTTCTGTTCTGTTGTGCATGATGTTGCCATGGGCTGGGTGCGGATTTCACTCAGCCAACAACAACAACAAACATTTTCTTTGACTGAAGTCTCTCCCCTTACAAAAAAGACTCCAAGGCTCACACACAAAGCTCCTTATCTTGTCTCTGTTAGCGTCCTCATGGGCATCTTTGGCTCTGGGACACGCTCTCAACTTATGATTGGGAGAGAGAAGTCCCAGCTAGTCCATTTGTCATATAAGAGAGGGGGAAGCTAATCGTTTTCATAATGTGAGCGATGGAGCTTCATAATGTACCATTCATCTGTGTCATAGGTGGATAGTGTATTACCTAAACGCACTCGGCTCTCCATTGTCTTCAGGACTCAATTTCCCTACCTTGTTCCAACACACACGCCTACTCAAACATCACGTGTTTTCATGAGCTCGTGATAAAGCTGTTGTGTGTTACCAAATGCAGTGCTGACATTGGAGAACACAGGTTGTTTCAAAATCAGTCTTCTGGGTCTGTTTAAGGAGCCCTGGTGGTACAGTGGCTAACATGTTCAACTGGGAACCAAAAGGTTGGTGATTTGAGACCACCAGCTGCTGCAACAGAGACAGACGCGGCATCCTGCCTTGGAAACCCAATGGGACAGGTTACTTTGCCCTCTGGGGTCTCTATGAGTCGGAATTGATTTGATGCTGTGAGTTTGGTGTCTATTGAAATATGCCTTGGTTAAATATTTAATATCTAGCATATGGGAGGCATATTTTAGTAGAAGTCAGCTAAACAGCTTTGGAAATTGGAAATCTTTTGGAACTCTCAATGCAGCACATAAGTTATAAAAATAATTTTTTTTTTTTCCAAAAAGGATGAAAAGAGGTCAATGCAGTCAACCCCAAGCTTGAAAAGGCAACTTCACTAAAACAGTGACACCGGGAGATTCTGACATTGTTTTCCCTCCCATCAAAACGGTATTGACATGTGGTTGCAAACCTTGGCCTAATGGAACAAAATAGCATTGTTTGCATGCACACAAAATTTTGAGGTCCTAGATGTAAGAAGTCTAAGCTTCTTTTTTGAAAATGAGCAGCAGCTGCTGTATAGGAAAATAACAGTGCTTTCTTAATGCATTCAAGGCTCAGCCCCTAATAACATTCGTGTTGACAGGGCTCAAGCCAGCACGTATTCATTCAGCACCTGCCTGTTTGTCTCCCCACGGCAATCTGCTCCCGTAAAGACTTACGGAAAGCCTATGGGGCCATTCTCCTCTGTCCTACAGGGTCACTGTGAGTCAGAATCGACTCACAGCAATGGGTAATATGGTGCTTACTATTTCTTGTCAATGAATGTTGTATGCCCACGTGGGAGATACTGGCATTAGTAGTGTGTGTGCTAGCACAAAGTTGGAGTCCTGGTGTGGCGCTGTAGGATAAGCACTGGGCTGCAAGGTCGGCTTGAACCGTGAGGCTGGCTGTTCAAATCCACCAGTCACTCTTTGGAAACCCTATACAGGGTCACTATGAGTTGGAACCGACTGTAGGGCACTCACCACCACCACCACCACCAACAGTACATAGTCGGAGTCCTGGTGTGGCACTGTAGGATAAGCACTGGACTGTAAGGTCGGCAACTGAAATTCACCAGTTGCTTCTCAGAAACCCTTTACAGGGTTGTTGTTGTTGTTATGTACCGTGGAGTCGGTTCCGGCTCATAGCGACCCTGTACAGGGTTTCCGAGGCTGTACATCTTTACAGGAGCAGAAAGCCTCAATTTTTTCCCGCGGAGCCGCTGGTAGTTTCGAACTGCCGACCTTGCGGTTCACAGTCTGATTCGTAACCACTACGCTACCAGAGCGCCTTTTTACAGGGTTACTATGAGTTGAAACCAACTTGAGGAAATTTAACAACAACCAGCACATAGTAAGCATCTAAAAAAATACGGCTAAATGTCTAAAAAATACGATTAAGTAGGAATGGAATTTGTCTTTCATCATACTCAGGAGCTCAAGTTCTGAACATCTGAGTCAGGTGGGGGTGAGCACTTTTCCAATTAATTCCCTTGCAGACAGGACTGGCTCAAGGCTGGGGTGGTACATCTAAGGGGTTTCACTGTCTTCACTTGGGATTGCTGTCCTCTTTAAGGAGCGCTGGTGGTGTAGCCGTTAAGCACTCAGCAGTTAACCAAAAGGCGGTCAGTTCCAACCACCAGCTGTCCTCAGGAGAAAGATGAGGCAATCAGCTTCCGTAAAGATTTAATGCTTTGAAAATCCTATGTGGCAGTTCTATTCTGTCCTCTAGGGGCGCTATGAGTGGAATTCATGGCAGTGTTGTGTTTCCTTTTTCAGGACAACTTAAACCCGACTGCCCTATGCCGGGGCCACAGCTCTTCCTGGCTGGGGAGGACGCCCCGTGACAACGCTGCGGGGATAGCAGGGACCCTTCCACGAGGCTTCTGCACCGCACGTCTCCATATCTCCAGTTTAATTAATTTCCATCAGATATGTCAAATGAAATGACATCCTCCCTCTTCCATTACGGCGCACGCTTAAAATTACATTTATACAAAATTGCATTTGCACAAACGTCTATTAACAGCCAAACTCCTACTGGCCAAATTCCATTAAAAATAAAAAAAAGGATATTAAGTTAGTAGAGCTGATTAAAAACACCTTCATCAAAGTAGAACATTGGTGCCAACAATCCTAAAAGGTAAATGACTGGTTTCCAAAAAATAGCTGTGCCGTCAAATTGGTTCCAACTCATAGCAACCCTGTATAGGATTTCTGAGGAGTGGCTGTTGAGTTTGAACCGTTAACCTTGTGGTTCAAACCGACTTTGTGGTCCAGTGCTTATCGTACGGAGCCACACAGGAGCCCTGGTAGCGCTGTAGGCTAAGCGTTGGGCTGCTAACCAAAAGGTCCGGTTTAAACCCCCTAGCTATTCCACTAGAGAAAGATGAGATTGTCTACTCTTATGAAAATGTACAGCCTGAGAAACTGTAAGGAGCAGTCCTCTGTCCTACAAGGTCGATATGAGGAAGAATGGCAGAATTTGGAATTTGGTACATTAACAAAGAGCCCTGTTGGTGTAGTGGGTTAAGCGCTGGGCCGCTAACTCACTGCCTTTGAGAGTCGATTTCGACTCATAGTCAGCCCATAAGACAGAGTGGAACGACCCCATAGGGTTTCCAAGGCTGTAATTCTTTCCAGGAGCCGGTTGCCACATCTTTCTCCAACGGAGCAGCTGGTGGGTTTGAACAGCAGATCTAACTTGGGGTTAGCAGTCCAACGATTAACCCATTGCGCCACCTGGGTTACTGGGTGGGGGTGGGGGCAAAAGGGGAAACAATGGACCTATTGGAGAGGAAACAGGAAGGAGGGTGATGGAGAGGGTGGGCGGGCACTGAGGGACCCTAGGCAGGGGGCTCTTGGGGAGGAAGGGACGTTTCAGGTGGCCCAGATGAAGCGGGCTGTCCCCACTTTCACCCGGTCCCCGCGGTCTCCCGCCCGAGCTGCCAGCGCGCACTGGGGCGCTCCCACCCTGGGCCGCCAGAGGGCGCCGCCGGCCTGGCGGAGGCGGGCGGCGGGGAGGAGGAAGCGGGCGG